CGTCGTTCCCAGCAAGATGCCCCCAAACCACAGGGCCGTGTATTGGGGATGCTCCTTTGATGCGGCTGCGATCCCATTGGAAAGCTAGTTTAGTAGTCTATGTTCGGCAGCGGTGTTGCAGAACTCCATGCCTTGTACGAATACATATATACTGCTCGTGTCAACACTACACTGCTTTGAACCCTTGCCAGCTGCCTGTCCAAGAATGAACTTCGAGAAGAGCAGCAAGAACATGAAACATTCAAACATGGACACCTGTCAGAATGACAAACCAGAACGGCAAAAAAAAAAAGAGCTACAGTGAAATGGCAGTTGAAATGACAAAGCAGAATTACAAATTGGACAACTGAGCGTGCCAAAATGATTCATTCGCATATCATCAGTGTCTCCATCTCGCAATCTTATAATATCATATCTTAGGAAATCCAATATTTAATTGGACGGATGAATAATCTATTATCTAGATACACGGATTTTGATATTCTGCAATTCATTTATCAGCCTTCTCCAATGAATATAATTTCTGTCTCCTGACCGCATTTCAGAGCCGCCTCATGCATTCAAATGCAGATACATTTGGCAATTAGTGGCATTTCGTGTCAAAAGCAATTTGGGCGCTTGTGGCTTCTCTACAAAATTGAACTTAAACATATTGCAAATTTTGGGGTTGGATGTTGACGCCTGGACAACCTTGTATCCTTGGCGGCACCTCTTGATGCTCAAGAGCCTTCAGCGCGAGAAGCTCTTCGAACTCCGCGTCCTCTGCCTCTCTCAGCTCGTGCGGCAGCGAGGCGTCCAGGAGCAGCAGAGAGCCGCGCGTTCGTTTTGATAGCCAATCGCTGACCCAGCGAGCCTCCTCAGCTTCCAGGCATGCCAACGGCGCATTCATGCCAAGGTAGCCACCGTTAAACACGTCGGCAGCGCGGCCAGCAAGCATCCAGGCACCGACAAGTGGCAGGAATGGTGCAGCACTTCCTGTAGCAGGCCCTGTTGACACTGAGGCCACTTGCAATGCAAGCCGAACATTTCGCGGCGATCCCATAGCTTTTAGCAGGGCGGCTGAAGGCAAGTCCGCGGGAGGCTTGCCCTCCAACCCAACACGTACAAAGATCGAGATGTTGTGAGGCGCCGCGGCTTGCGCCAAGCAAGCACCGGCCAAGGCAAATTCAGCCAAGCACTGGGAGGCCGTGTAATAATTCTCTGGTGCACGGTGAAAGGCCAGGATCGCTTCCTGGGAGAAAACTCCGTTGGGGCGGTTGGGGCTGTCGCTGTGCATGGAAGATACCATTTTGTCGAAAACCGCCGCCACCCGCGCAATGCTGGCCTCGTACTGGACAGCGCTGTTGTTGCAAAACCGCAGGTCCGGAAATAAGTTCGCGCCGCTTGTGAAGTCGACGACAATTCGCAGCCTTTGACGGATGGCCCAGGATGCATCTTCAACAAGCGCAGACCTGTCGCGAACCTCCACATACTGCCAATCCACTACAATGGTATCCCAGTGCTGAAAGAAGGATGGGCGCTGCAGGATCTGCTCAACAAGGCCCCCAGTGCCAGTCAGGGGGAGACCACGTGCTCTCGGCAATGGCGGAGCCTCTGGCTCAATGATGGACGTGTTGCTCTCGCTCTCCAGCTTGACGGAAAATATTCGCTGACTCAGCCCAGCTATTTCGTCCCAGCTGTCACTTCCGCAGTCAACTCCCTTTGGTGCGTGGGTTGGCATATAGCCAGGCGTTGAGCATGAGGCCAACTTGGCATCATCAAGCTTGATTTCCTCCACCGATTTGATGGGACCTAACTGGCTGTTGATCTTGAAGGGTCTCTGTGACAGCTGTGTGTTTGCCACTCCGAGCAGGTACTCGCTCGCTGCACGTCGAGTGGCGACGAAGTTAAGCGAGGGAACTGAGGATCCAGTGATGTTTTCGACTTGGAAGACCGCCTGATGTGAAAAAATGTCCTCCAAGATGATGTGGGCGTGGCGAGCAATCGGGTATGGGATCGGCAGCTTGCTATCGATTGCTTGGCTTGTGGAGGAGGACATCGGCAATGCCACCTGGCTAGCGCTTGCGACACCTGAGGATGCCAACACCACCAAGCGTCCTGTGCCAACTTCAGCTAGAGCGGCCAGTGTCTGAGCGCCTGCTGATGCAACAACGCGCGTCTTGGCCAGTGCTCCCCATCTAAGCGGGCAAACCTTCAACGGCACCATCTCTTTCACTTGCCTTGGAGCAGCGGTGGGGTCGGCGGTGCTTATGACAGTCACTGTGGCCCCCGCAGGCACGAGGCTTCCACCTCCCTCACATTGAGCCGACACGATGGTCAGCGACACCGTGCGGAGGGAATCCGCAGTGATCACCAAGCTGCCTCGGATGCCACATAGGCCTCCAACTTGCTGGAAATCTCCTTGCGCATGGCCCTCAAGGCGGACCCCACCACCACCCCGGGGTACTGCTGCAGAAGCCAAAGCGGCACGTCCGACAGCAGCATGTCCGCAGCATCGCCAAATGGGGTGGGTGTGAGGAAGCCTGACTCATTATGGAAGAAACTTGCAGTCTCATAGCCGGGGTACACTGTGTCCAAAACACCATGTGTCCAGAAGTCTGCCTTCTCCCACGGAATGGTACCCCAAATCCGAAAAGCCACACCCTGGTACAAATGTCTCGGTGGCTGGAAGCCAGCAAAATAATCCAGCAGAATGCCAAACTGCGTGATATGACTGCCGATGCCAGCTTGAATGCCAACTGACTCGGACTGACCATCCACGAAGGACTTGCCCGCCTTCTGGATACTGCCAATGGGACTGAGCTGGGTGTTGTTGGGCCCACACATCCATCCATTTTCAAACGAGAAAATAGCTGAGTTATACAAGAGCTGCTGGTACATGAGCGCCCGCATCAAAGCCAACGATGTACCATGCTCCGAACAGGTACAACTATTACAATCTTTTGGCCCTTCTGGCCCCCACCACCGGTTTCCGATGGAGGCATCGCCCCAAACGCGCAGGCCATACTGCTTTGCTGCACCTCGAAGGAATGCGTAGAATATTTGGTCGTTTGGCAGCCCCTGTGCAGTCTCAGCACCAAGCAGTGTGTAGTAGCCGGTGCGTGCATAATAGTGCGGGTACCACAGGCTGTTCAGACTCATCAGCTTGAAGCCTAAGTCGTTGGCCATCCGCTCGAATGCTTAGCAAAGTAGAGAAAGCCCTGCATGAGTTCATCAGGCCGTGCTGTTTCGGTTCCACCGCGGCCACGGAGCTGCTGGGGAGCAAAGCTCATCCAGCGGCCATCCTGCTCGCCGTTATCCATGCCAGTGAACTGCTCACCTAGCTTGGCCAGCAGTCTTGCAATCTCTGGGTGCAAGTGGTACTCACATACACCTCCAGCAACAGGGTCGCAAACGTCTGTGTCGCCAGGAAGATAATTTGAAACATCAACAAGCCAGAGATGCCGACTCAGGAGGCTATCAATGGTCTTATTCAGATCGTGCAATGCATAATATGTCGGCCAAACTGCATCACCCAAACCTGTGGTCGCGTGGGCATCCAGATCCTTGGCATCTAGGGCACCCCTGTAAGCGGCAAATCGCACTGAATTGGTGAGGCTGATCGGTGCCTTTATCCAGGCACGATGCTGCTGTGGGTTTGCTGTAGGGTCATTTATGAAGGGGTACAACCGCACCACCGCCGCCACAGGTGCGATGAGCTGGAGTGTACAGAGCCAGAGCCATGCCACCATGGCTTTGTTGGGAATAGATGGGGCCACTTCAGATATCAAAGCTACATGTGAACGTCAAGCAGTGGAGCCACAACATTGAAACAAAGATCAAACAGCAATAACATGTTGACGCTGAAAAGAAGATCTGATCAGCTTTTCCAAACACTCTCTGAACGCAAAGCGCCATTTTCCAACTCATCCGAGATCTCTCTGTGGGATTCAGGATCGCAAGGCCTGACAATGGAGTGATGCCAAAGCATGGGTTGCAGAACATGTGTAGTGAAAAGTGCAGGCAACACATCCTGCCGTACACAGTAATTGCATCCACGTTATATACTAACTTCAAAACCATTGAGAATTTAATTGTCCAGATGGAAGGGAGACGACAGAGAGAGAGAGAGAGAGGGAGAGAGAGAAGGAGAAATCAAAAATGGCAAGTCAGCAAATGATGCTTACAGAATCATACAGCGCACATAGAAAGTCCAGGATAGGTCAACAACAGCCAGCGGGAGGACTAACAGACCAAGCACAAGTTGATGGATCCAGATTGCTGTTCCCCGGAGGTTGCCGCAGGATACTGCCGGGCAGCAGTAAACGTCACTGTCGTGATGTGGCAGGCCAGGTCTCAAGGGCTTTCTCTACAACAAGTCTAGGGATGGCATGTTTCTGGGAGAGGGGCCTTGTTCAGGCTTAAGATTGCAATGACAAGTGCGTGAAGCTCCTTCAACGTGCCTCTGTACCAGACAACGCACAGCACCGCTCCATTGCACTGTAAGAACCCAATTCAGAACCACCGAATCCGCTGCTACCATCAGTAGATTCCTGTACCCTGTATGCTTGAGATTGTGGTAGGCCCATTGTAACCTCAGACCGAAAGCATGCTTTGCAACTCTGCAACCACCCTACTTGACCCAGCAGAACACGAAGCACATAGCGCCGGTTTTTGAAGCAGGATCAACTCCTTGGGAGGTAGCTCGCGCTTCATCTCAACTCTGCGCCTTTATGGCGTGTATATGGAAGCAAGAGACTTCAAAATCTTGTGCTCCTCTCCCATGCAGCGTCACGGCCACCGCAATCCACAAGGCGCAGGAGATTTTAAAAGTTTAAGCAACACTCTAGCCACTTGAGCGTGGGGCCTTTGAGCCTAGCATGGGGTCTGGCACGCACTCTTTTGCGAATTACCCCGACAACAACTTACCTCTGCTGCGTTAATGCAACGCGGAGAGGCCTTCTTCTGAGCTGCGATGCCACCTGGTACCTGGACTGCCAAAATCCGGACGCGTGCTGACTTCAACCCGGCAAGGCCAAGACGGACCATTTGCCTTCGAAGACAGGCTCAAAGGCCATTCGGCCCAAAGACTGTGCGTTGGCTGACGTGACAGCCTCGCTGCCGATCTTGAAGTCTGTGATCTCCAGGAAAGGCTCTTGCAGGTCTTTGAAGTACTGCGTCACTTCGGGGTTCTTGTTGAAGTCTCTCAGGTCACATTGATCATCTATACCGCTCCACTGGTCCACGTGAAACCGCTCGATCTTTATCTTTGAAATCTTGGATTGCACAAAGATGCGGATGGGACACATGCACCTGCCCTCCACGTGGATGTCCCTGAGCGTGAGGCTTTCAATGCAGAATTGGTGAGCGGTGGCCTTGTCGTCATCAATGATCAGGTCTGCTGCGGTAACAATGGCGCAGTTGCCTCGATTCTTGGTGTGTCAGAGGAACGCTGGAGAATGTCATTGCTGCTTGTCCATCTGCTGCACTCGGACAATCATTGAAGAGACAAAACTCTAATCCGAGTCGAGATTTTTGCATTGCAACCAGTACACCTGCGCTTTATGTATCATCAAGTGGCTTGCCCCACGGAAGCGTGACAGGTCGTGGATGACATCAACCTCACAGAATGCATCCTGCAAGCCCTGAACTGAAGACTAGCTTGCCCAAAGAAACGCTTGGCACGCAAAAGAACCTACATGCATGAGTTGCATGAGACTTGTGCACGCATAATACCTGCCCAGTGTAGTCGTTATCCCGAATTGATTCACTGCCCCTCGTAGGTTCTCTCCTGATCCGTTGACTACGGCAAACTATGCTGTTGATTGGCATCTCTCACATTCATGGATCTGCTTTGGAACCCCACGGCCTCCTCGCAGATAATCCTGGCCAAGTTCCGGGGTTTCCAGCCGAACTGGACCAAACCTCCGTTGCCCTGAAACCTGGTTTTCACAAGGCTCTAAGATTGCAAGCGCTGGCTCAAGTCTAATGAGTGGAGGTTAACTTTCAACGCTAGGCACTTCTGGAAGAGGTGTACTCTTGTACAGGCCTCAACGCAGCAAGTCCCGCAGGGCGTCAAGTATCTAGCAGTGCAAGGGGTTCCGGCTTGTGTGGGGGGGGGTCATCACACATATGTTAAGCCTCAAAAGGATGCACGCATAGTACAGAGAATACCAAACATGAGCCCGAAAAGGTGCTGAAAAGCAATTGGGGGCCAGGATGTGATCCGCCGAACCGTGACCTGTCAACCAAGCGTCCGGTACATTGCTAGTACACTGCCGTGATTGTTTCTTGCGGGTTTCACGGGAGGTTATCTTGTGTAATGGGCAAGCCCCAATCTGGTAAACCTGTCTACTAGCAGCGATGGCATCACCAGCTAAGATACAGCTCTTATTCGGCACGTGGAAGCAAGTATGAGTCTGTACTGTGCCATGGCAGCCCGGGGGCATCGCTCCAGTAGAGTTTGACGCAATCGTCATTCGTCTGGAAGAAGGAATTTTGTACCGTGGACCAGCTTGGTACTTCGAGCCCGTCTGTTTGGTAGTACCACGTGCCCACCATATGATAATTGTCCACCCTGGTGGCAAACTTGGAGTCTTCCTGTCAAGGCTCTTGTGAAGTCTATACCACACCAGGCTGCAACTTTACAAGCCAGAAACCCCAAAATGCCATCAATGAAACGATGATTCTCGCAGCAATGCTTTTTTAAGGATCTGAAAGCTGGAACAAACCTGAATCTACTTGACTACCATGAAAACAAAAGGGTTTGGAAAAAAAATGTGTCGTACTCATTCTGGTCTAACCATGCGAAACGCCGCCTTAGACCCTAGCAACGCAGTCCTTGTCGAGGGTGCCATAAACAGTAAAGGTGTGGAAATGGGGGTTGGTGATCGTGATCCCCTGAACTTCCAGCTCCTGCTCAAGCTGCATATGGGATTGAGATTTTGTGTGGTGATTGCTTCAATTTGGGCCATGTCAAGAACACGAATGGGAAAGATCCCGAACCAACCTACTCCGTTTGAAACGCTCTCAACGCCCAGCCAGGAGTAACCTGCGAAGATCTAGGGCTTGTTGCGGGCTTGGGCTTGTAACAAGCTGCAGGTGACCCATCCAATCCGCCGTTAGTGAGGCAAACTTTCCACTGTGGACAACAGCCTGATAGTCCAGTGGGCCTTTCAGTCCTGCCTGCAAATCAGCAGCTTGAACCACTCTGCAAAGGGTTTGATGCCGTCCTGGCTCATGCCTTCAGGTGAGAAGAACTCCATCATCTTCAAGCAGTTGCCCTCATAGAAGCCTGCCGTGACAAGTTTCGTAAGTGTTGAAGGGGTTGATAGACCTGTGGGACTTGGGCATTGGTGAAAAGATCGGAACCACATGAGAGCCACCTGCGTTTGAAGCTTACAGCATTCATCTGAAACATACATGCGCCCCAAAAGCCTACAAAACTGCCATCTCTCCGATGTGTGTACACAGGGTCACTTTGTGTGGTGTCTAAGGGTCATAGGGCTTAGGGTTTTGGGATTGGGGTTTGGGGTTTTATAATCTTCTCAGTAATCATGAACATTCTGACTGGTACTGATCCACGAACTCTTCATTAGTTTCACATCTGAAGCTCAAATCCCTTTCCAAGCTGGTTCCCTCTATAGGGGCACACAAAGAGGTGCGGGCCTTAGGCACCAAACCCCCCAAAGGACATATAACCCCGATGACCCGCCTAGTTTGTTGAAACCTCCGTATACGTTTGATTAAAGCTCTCCTCCAGGCACTTCCGGAGGCCGCGTCTTGTAATCGTTGGCCTCTGGGGGCACACAAGGAGTTCAGGGCTTGGGGCTTCAACAGGCGCCAAATGCTGCAGGTTTGTGGTTAAGGGAATTGGGATTGGTAGCTAAGATTGTACGGACATATTACAACCAAAAGTGGGTCATGGCTCAAGTTTGTCCAGTTCATTCTGCTTAGTTGATGCTGCGATCTTTGCCTTGTCGCACTCGTAGACATACTTCTCCCCAGACAGTGTGCCAGCTCCTGCAGATAGGGATGGATTCAGGGGATTTCATGGGTATCTCTTGCATGGCGATGACGGTAATCTGGGCAGTTTCTGGTCCCAGGATTCAAACTTTGCACTGGTCTGCCAAATTGGAACCTCATGCTCTGTGCCGGCGAGCAACTTTAATGCCCACTTAACTTCTTTACCCCATCTAGACAACAGTTGGCCAGTCCTGTGACCCGCAGCTTTGCAGGAGTTTTTCCAGTCTCACCACGGAACCTCAGGTCGATATTGAGAATGCATGTTTTGCAAGTGGTTGAAGCGCGGAGCCATGATACAAGCTGCGCTGGTGTTGAACGGGAGTTGGCAGAGGAAACATTCAGCGGCTATAGGTATCAAGAATGCGAATCCCTGCTTGGAAGCTCTTGCAAAAAGGATTTTTGAAATCGGCACTACGTGTATCCAGAAACAATCTTCCGATTCTTCAGATGGTTGCTTTTGCAGGATCTGGCTGTGCAGTGATCAAGTTTTAGGACGTGCACCTAAGCCGCTGTCCATATTTCTTTGGGAACAGCAACTGAATGGCACCCTTGACGTAGGCCCCGGGAGCCAGGTAGACCCACTCGATCTCGTTGTTCAAGTAGGCATGGTAGTTCCAAGCCTTACGCAGGGCTCAGGGTCTGCAGCCTCAGCCCCCTAAAGCCCAGCAGCAAAGACGACAGACATCCGGGAAAAGGCAACCCCCAGCACTAGCGCTGAAAAACCATTAGACCTAATCCCTCAATTTTGCACATTTCCCAAAGGTGCAGGGCACTACCTGGCATCAGTACCAAGGGGCCATGGCATACACGCCCGGCCGGAAGTAAATGATGGGCTTGTGGACCGAGTCCAGGTTCAGCGGCAAGTCCTTCTAGCACAGCCATGAAACCTCTCGTACCCCAATTCTGGAAGAAAGCCAGAAGGAAAGTCAGGATAGCACGGAAGCCCAAGTGAGTCAGCATGACATGGTTTGGCCAGGCCGGCTTGATTTGTCCCGCTCCTGTTGGTCAGTGCATGGGAAGAGCAGCAGTCTGCAGAGTAACATTTCTCAAGAACCTATCAGATCGGCCAGGTAGAGATCCGAAAGGTAGAGCCCAACAGGCCACTCCAAAGCAGGTCTTTTGGGGGGGGGCAGAATGCCAGTGACAAGGATTACAACCCATGTGCTTTGGAAACCGCTCTGAGGCTCATTTCAGGCGCTAATGCAACATGGCTGGGATCTAGCGTTTGCCTTCCAACGCGTGTTCAGCCGGACCGCCTTCTGGGGATCCACATAGTGAACTTTCGACTCCAGCTCTGCGGGCGTGTACAAGTCTTCTGGCCTGGCTCAACAGCTGATCCAAAAAACGCAGGCCTCTAGCCTTGGAATGTCAAGGACAGCAGGTGTAGGCTCAGTCGCGTTTGCGTTCCTGCTTGTTTCACAAGTGGTATGCATTGCATGAGTGCAGTTCTTCAGAGCTCTCCAACAGCGCTACATGGCTCACACGCACGCTTCCTTCAGAGTTCTGTCAGCACGGCACCTGAACACTGCATAGGACCATCTTTCTCCCTGGCCTGATCTGCTTGCAAATAGGCTCCGCAAAGATGATTAAACTGTTGCGCGGTATCTCCGCAACATCGCGCTCGCAGATCTGGAACATGAACATCCTAAGCGGTGTCTTTCAAAAGGCTAGGGCCGCATGGCTCGAACCAAACATGAAAGACACATGCTCCACCCAAGATGAGCGTCTCCCACTGAAACTCAAGAGAAAATCGAAAGCCATCATCGCTGTACGGGATCTTGAATCTAACAGTATTCTTGCCCGAGGCTTCAGGTGACCAGTATCCGCTCTGCGCACTTTCAGCGATCTTCCGAGGGCGGATGATCACGTGCTTGGAAATATCCTGGTGGTCAACATCCCCCAGGACAGTCACCTCAACCCACACATCAGTGGAGTAGAGGAAGTGTGCCCAGGTGCATGTGCATCCGTTGTCGTCGAAACTGTCTGCACCATCGTCCTTGGTGTACCCCCACTTTTTGCGCCCCATACGAGGCCATGAGAAGTAGGGGAAAGGCCTTTGCTTCTTGTCTTTGCCTTCACCGCATTCACTCCACACCGAGACCTCAAAGAAAGGAGATCGAACCACCGTCCTGTCTTCCTCTGGACGCAGCTCCCTCTTCTCTGAAGTGTTCTGGTCATGCCACCAGGTGATAAGGTCTCCAGCAGAGGAAGTAGAAACAGAGCCAGCGCTTGTGGGCGCAGCTTGCGGCTCAACGTTCTCCACAACTCCGCTTTGCTGCCCTCCTTCGCAGGACGACCCGCATCCCATGGTGGGAGCTCTTGGCCTGAGGCGTTGATGCTAGCTGCTTGCAGTTTTTGCATTAGCCATGTAGAATTTCCGGCGGCCCTTCCTCTTGAACATTCTAAGGCAGGACAGAGGATTACAACAATCAACCAGTAAACGTCTCCCGTCTTCACCGGCTCCCCTGCCACCACCCCCTATACTACCACCGGGGTTCCCCTTAACTGGGGTTCTCTAAGCTTCATTCGGGCTAATCAAGGGAACTTGGGGGTGGCAGGGGGGGGGGTGCTCTGGAGAACCCGCGAAGATGAACATCTAAGTATTACAATTATTACAATCATAACTACCATGTTTATTTGTGTTTCCGATTAGTATTTTCTTACGCTTCGCTACCGCAAATCATGAGCATTTACCTAAATAACCCCATACGAACCCTATACAGACCCCAAAACGCGTTAAAACGGGTCTTTATATGAGGTATATAGTCTAAACTCCTTGTATCCCCCTTAATAACCCCTATAGTAGTTCCCCATAAATCCCCTATATAACCCCCTTTAAGGAGTTTAGACTACAGCTCATATAGGGTCTCCTTTCTGACAATAAGTAAATCATGAGAAGATACCAGTACTATCATGTGGGCCCTGCCCCCACCCATTAAAAGTCTATAATAGGAGTAGTAGGACGACTCTATATAAATATATTCCAAATGTTATCCAGCGGTTAGTGAGCGGCGGGGTAGTACTAAAACACTCTAGACCCTAAACCCTAAAGCCTCAACTCGAAACCCTGAACCCGAAACCTTAGAGCCTAATTGTCGTTCCTATCTGCTGGCCGAGGGGCAGCTGCTGGGCAACAGCAGGCCCAAGGCTCGAGCCGGCAAGCTCCCAGGCGAGTCGACAATCCCAAATGTAATCATACAAGTAGCATTAGCATCAGCATTAGTAAAATTCATCGTCATATTTTTCTATAAGTATTAGTATTAGTAGTGATAGTAGTAATATGAGCCACGGCCATTACTTCCTACAGAATACTGGGCATCGGTTCCCTCTTAGGGACCGTGTTAGGGACTATACTAAACTACAGGAGGGGCCCCCACGTCTACTGTTACTGGTCCCTTTATAAGGCTGATATTGACAGTAGCTCAATATGATTATCAGTATTGTACGAAGATGATATGATAAATCTCTATGACCAGGATTGCGGCGTATAGGGGTGTACATTGGGGCCCCGACTTTGTGGAAACCTCGGCGCAATACATGAAACATGATGATGATGATTATGATGATGGTGATGTAGTAGTAGTTGTCGTCGTCGTCGTCGTCGTGGTCGTGGTCGTGGTCGTGGTCGTCGTAGTATTATAGTAGTAGTAGTAGTAGTAGGAGGAGGAAGGTTATGACGTAGTATAATGTTACAGTAGTGTAGTGATCCGATAGCCTCCTTCACAGGGCTTGCGCCATCCAAGTCCATGGCTACTCTTTTCTGCTACGATTGTACTCCACAGCAGAGAGGGTACAAAGGGTTCTACACCCCGTAGTGGCACTTGAGCATACTTTTGTTCACTTCATGTCTGGCATGCCCGGCCAGTGAGAGCCCTCAACTCCTGACTCCCAACAAGCAAAGCTACTCCTCCAGACCCTCAAGAGCCTCTGGCTTTGCAGCAGAAGTAGACATATGAAGAGACGGTATCATGGCAAACCAACAGGACTTCTGCTGGCTCGCACCGCACGAGCACACCCATTCTGTCGCGGGACCCCTGCAACCCTTGTTACATACCTTTGTCGCTTTTGCCTGGTACGGGCGTGCCCACCAAAAATGATACAAGCCTATGTCGCAGAATGGCCGCCCGAGCCTGCTACGAAGGAATCCAGCGTTTTCATTCACAGCCATATGACAAACTACTTAATTCACATCATTGCGCCCACCTCTGTTGTCGGCAGCCTCTTCTTCGGCGAGGCCTCGAACTGCTGCTGAACATTCTGCAGACAGGGCTGACGAACTTTTTGATGACCCTGACGACTTAGGTGAATCTGCTCTTCCTGCTGCAAACTCCCACTGCCATCTGACGGATGATGCAGGAGTGGCTTGGCGACACATTGATTCGTTGGCTCAGCTTTGCACACACATCAGCATCAGGGAGACACTTCCCTCCAAGCAGGTAATCTACAGCGCAACACACGACAAGCGAATGTTGTGCCGAAAGTCCGGTCATGAAGGGCTGGGTGATTTGGAAGTCGTGAGCTGGAAGGACGAACAGATTCCAGCGCACATTACACACTGAATGCTCGCCATAAAGTTTGCTGGTGCCCTCTACTTGTCCAGTCCCCGCGTCCATCTGTTTGCCTTTGCCATTTGGTATTGCGTTTCCGTGGAATGGATTTTGGCTGTGTGATGCTACCTGATTTTCCGACGACCTTAATGGTGACATGATCAAGGGGGTGCGAGAATGTCAAATTGCCTTCAACTGGTGATGTTAGCAGAACGGCTACAAAAAACATGGGACCGGGAGACCTCTAATGCCAGAAGCCGTCCTACACGAAGCTAGGGTTGCCAAAGCTGCAGTTTGGAAGCTGCAAGATATGCGCGGGATTCTCAAGATGCAGGGCCCTCAAGAAAACCGAGGAGATATTGGGACAGTGACTAAGGGTAAGATGGAGTCTCTAGACTTGTTCAGCACTTGCGTTCCTACAGCCCCGAAAGCTTTTTCATCTCTTGGTGCGAGACTATCATCCCGGTTCTCTCACATTAGAGCCCAAAGGATGCGCAAAGAATGACTGTACACTTGACACGTACACAGCTTACACACCTCTCAGCTTTCCTTGCTTGAGCTCGTGCAGCTTGTGGTTCCTCAGTTCAATTCAACAGGCGTCCCACGATGGCTTGGTACGACAACCAACCATGCACCTACCTAGAAAGGGCTGCCAAGCCATCGAAGGATCAGTTGTGTGATCCTCTCGCTCTTGTCAGCATGCACCTTGTGGAACTCTTGCTGGAGTCGATCTACTTCCTGCTGCGCTTTCGCTTCCTTCAGCGCATTAACCTGCACAACCAGTTGATGCATGCGGGTCAACATTGTGAGCTGTTCCGTGCCCCGCCAACCTGTCACAAACACGGTGTCGAATCGGGTCGCTAATGGAACCGATCACGTCCCAGCTACAGGAACCCAACCCTTCAACCCCCCACTCACCTCCCACCTGCCACCTCCTCAACTTTTTGTAGCTCGTAATGGTTGAGGAAGGTAGTGGTAGTACGTGGTAGAACTGGTATTCCTATCACCTGTCGGTAAGATGTTAATAACCTCGTCTTTTGACTACTGCTACTTCTATCACCCCTCCTCTACTCAAATACTTTCGTTTTGGGATACGAGAGGAGGCGGCGAGAAGTAGGAGTTGGGAAGAAGCGGGCACATGGGAGGTGAAATCAGTCGGGTCACGGTTGCCCTGAGGAATCGAGTCAAAAGACAAGAGTCAATCAAATCGAGTCGGTCAGGGCATCGCAAAAGCCCCTATCTGTTGTTGGCAAAGCCACTTCATACATCTTTTTTTCATAGTCGAGTTGCTCCCTCAGCTGCGTGCGCTATGAAAGGGCCACTGCATTGTCAAGATGTTTTGCCAGCAGTGACCACTGCTGCCAGGAGTCTGTGTTTCCTTCCTCTGGAATGTCTGCAAGCGCAGGGAAGCCTTCACAACAAGACAAAGAGAAGCAGTGGCTTGCAGAAACAGCGCATGTGCTGCCTCCTCAAGTTTTGCTTGCTCTGCCCTGAGCTTCGTGTCAATCTCCTGGACCTTGCGCGTCCTGGCAGCTCATCGATAACATGAAGAGTTGCCAAAAAATTGTGGGGAGCTCTGAAAGCCTGTTTTCCGTGGATTGGGTTTTGGCAGCCTAGCTAAATTCCATGGAAAATTCAACCAAGTCACCTCCATGTAGCGACATACAATGTAAGGGAACAGATTTGCAATTAAGCTCGTGGCTGGAGTGTCGTAGCTCCGCTGGGCTTACTAATTAGAGGCAGCGTTTCCGGGCCCCAGATCTCAATGGCGTTTATGCAAGCAGAGCATGGAAAACATTTGTTGCGAGTCGCGCGCAACACCTGCGATTCTTGAAGTTGTTTTCGTTGCACACACGCATTGGCTTGTAACATGAATGAGGCCCATTGCAACACTCATATCGAAGCCAGCAGGCTTGTCCCGACTGTCTGCAGACTCCAAACTAGTGTCTACTAAGTGCTGGGTTGTCGCAGGCGAAGCTTTAAATAGCTAAATTTCTGGAATCTCTTTTTGACTGTCTTGTCGGCATCCTCAAAGGTGCCATGGGGAGCCATTCCCCGCATGATCCCCACACAACTCCCTAGACTCCCTGAATCCTGAACCTGCCTGCACGATTATCGTTATTAACATTAATGCTAACGTATCACTAATACGGGGAGGTGACCATCATATGTTGTTGCCGAGCCAGAGAGAAATCCTGGAAGATTGCATTTGCTCTCTAACAAGTTCGGAGCCCGAAAAGTTCTAAACAAGCTCCATGGGCAATGATGAGGGGGTGGCAATAACAATATGTCCATCCGAAAATATACCGACTTCAATAGATGCCCTTCTACTTGTACTACTACTACTACTACTACTACGAGCTGCACTACCTGGTCCTGTCCAACCCCTCGGTTTACTATTGGGATCCCCCCACCCTCCGTAGACCAAGAACGCAAAACAAAATGGGGGGGGGATTCTTAATTGTGAGGTTAACATTATACTATGATTACTTTACAGCCCCGACAAGCAATCTGACCCATGCCGGGGCGCTGCTGCGACTTGCTGGCCTTCATTCGGGTCATCGTCCGCTGCCTGGGTTTGCTACTTGGACCCTACGAATTTTGTGGAGGCGGTACCCTTGGTAGTGTTCTTGGGGTCTTTCTTGGGGTCCCAAGTCTGTGGGAACTAGCACATGTGGCACTCTTTGAGAAACCCGCAGATGCTCAGTCTTCAGCTGCAGAATACTGATTGCAGTGGCAGTATGGAGGGTAGCAGAAGGAGGAAGCAACAGAAGAGGAGGTGTGGCTTCCCTCAGCCACCTACTCCCACAACTCAAGTTTTGCTCAAGTCAGGTACTATGAGGTTGGCAAAGGAGGTGAGCTCGCAGAACTACAATTGACAAGTTCAACGCAGCTTACTGGATTAGTAGAAGAAGTCATAGCTAAAAATCGTAGTGGTAATAGTTGTAGCAGCAGCAGCAGCAGCAGTAGTAGTCGTCGTAGTAGTAATCGTAGTAGTAGTGGTAGTAGTAGTAGTAGTAGTGGTAGTAGTAGTAGTAGTAGTAATAGTAGTAGTAGTAAAAATAATAGTAGCAGCACCAGCAGTAGCAGTAGGAGGCCCTGCTGCTGACCAACCAAGTTTGCCAAATTGCGCATGTTGAAAAACTGCAACAAATAATGGAGGAAATCCAAACTTCCAAACTATGGAATGCCAAATGGGATGGCGAGGGGGGGTGGAAGAGCGCAGGCAATCATTATTGGCACCTACAGCACTTTTCATGATCTTGCGCGGGTGATCCACATCCTACCACCCCCCTCTTCTGCTTACGCTGTTGACCGCCCTAAAATTCGAGGGAATATGATTGGTGGGGGGGTGGGGCAGCTAGCAGTGGCAGTAGCAGTTGTTGTGTTGTCGTCAGAGTACTGCTAGGTAAAGTACGAGCAGTAGAAGTAGCAATTGTAAGCAGCGGTGGTGGCAGTACAACCGCCACCGCCACCTCCATCGCCACCACGACTGCTGCCTCCACTATGACGAGAATACGAAATGCAAGTGGGTGGTGGTGAGCTGAGATTTGCCCGGTTGGCAAGTTCGGGCTTTCACTCTGCGAGGCAGGTGCAGCATGCAGGCAGAGTGCACCATGCACCCAAAGTCACACAGTTTTTGTTGTAGTCATCGCCTTCGGCTGGGGTGGTGGGCTTGATGGTGTGAAGTCTCGGCCGTAACAGGGCTTCCCCAGGGCCTTCCGCACCTTCAGCCCAGGCATTCGCATGCAGGGCAGTGCAAAGCAATCCAACCTGAGGGATTTGATGTATTTGTATTTGTTCAAAGTGTGCAATTACCTGCCTTACCATCACCATATATCACCATTGTTGTCATTCTGCAGATTTGACTCGGTTTGACCTTCAAAGCTCAACTTCGCCACAACTACTGACATACAGACTATCTTGCATGCGCGAGGTACATGTTGGACTGCTTGTTCTTGTCTTCCTGCGGACACCAGCTTCACAACAACAAGAGTTGTCTAGACAGACCTGGGAGAATTCAATATCTGCGGCCCTTCACTGAAAGTTAAGCTTGCAGTCTCAGTCTGCAAGTACAGTAGCGCAGAAAGAGATATCAAAGCTGTTCGGGACGAGGAGGAGGAGGAGGAGGAACGGATTGTTGTGATGGCGAGTCCTTCAAGCCCTCAGCAACAGTCTTTCTCAGGTATTCGAGCTCTTTCCTTAGGGAACACGGTGGAAAAGCCCATGCGGTCCCACTGCATAAGACGTAAGGGCTCCTACAGTACATCGCTGAGTTCTGTCATCTCAGTTGCTAACGCACCCTCAATTTCTCTTCACGAGTACCGTGTAAGGGCGGCTTGGAGGATGCAAATTACTGGACATGCTGGCAAGGAGCTGGCCACGAGTCTCCTCAAGCCTTGCTACTGTCGGTCAGCAGAGGCAGGCTGCACTGCAGCGGTTGGTGAAGCGTGACGGATGGCTAGCTTGCTCGTGACGCCTTCTTGCCGCCACGGCGCTTCATGCCGGAAACATTCTGCCGGGCTTCCTCTTGCAGAGCTGCTGTCTGGTGATTGAGATCTTGGGCCAAAGCCTGGTACGGAACCGTTGCAAGCACTAGCTGACTAGTTGAACTATCGGACCTAGAAGATCCGAGTATCGAGCCTGGTTGTCAATTTCTTGATGGTGCAACCTTGCTTCAGCATCTTCCAGCTTCTTCTGGTATGGCTTCAGTGCCTTCTCTGCCTGTTGCATCCTGGCAGGATGTCAGAAGATACCAGGATGCTTGCTGAATGTGGGGCATGCTGGATCATGGCAAGAAGTCATGCTGTCAAAGGTGTTGGTGGTCCTGATTTGCTCGTCAGAAGTGGCATGGTGCTGGACACGGGCGCGGGCATCTCGCAGTGCAGCGCGCTGCTCCTCCATTGAGCGAATTTGCGGATCCAGGGACATGTAGTGATGAAAGACTATTCCTCCCCTGTAAAAATTACATGGGGCCCGTTTGAGAAACTCTGGTAGCCTCTAACAGCTTCACTTCCAGCAAGCCCGAAAGATGACAGTCTTCCTTCCATTCTATAAGTGTGATAATTTTGAGAACAACCCATTGATCATCAACATGTAGTGTACAGTTAGTGACTGAACATGAATGAACATTGTGTATGGAAGTAATTAATCAAGAATGACCCGTGGCCTCACTAGTTGAATGCGTGGCGGGGACAACAGGCAGTTGTTCTCAAAACTACCATGGAATTTGGTTGGGCGCTTTTCTTCTGCAGACTACGAGCATCAGTTCAGCTGTCACCTTGAGCTCACTAAGCAAATCAAGCAGTCCTCCTTGGCATGCTCCAGCTCCAACTGAACCTCACAATGCTGGTATCACTCTGCGTGAACGAGTGTTCTACTGGCAGCAACACAATTACTAGTGAGCAGGTTCTGGCAGTATGAACTGCCATGTTGTTTATGATGGGCCATTTGCATTGCCATATTCGTTCCGTGCCCGTGCCTTGTGCAGCTTTGCCTCTGCCGCCCTATGTGATGCGTCGGCCGCTGCTTGCTGCTGCTGCAAGGCCTTTTCCTCAGCCACGGCGTCTGCCTGGCATGGAGGATAGCTTCAGCATGTGCATCTTGAGAAATGAATCATACGTAGCCCAATGGGATTTGCTTCGGCCTTGTTCTTGTGCTTGGCTTCCTTCAACAGAAGCCTGGGCATTTGAGCAGGCTTGGGGCCAGGGTTGAAGGGCATGGGACTCAGCTTGAGTTGTGACAGGAATCTCGGCGAACTCTGAAGCAGAGCCGCTTGGTCTGCTCGAGCTGCTTCTCTGCCACAGCCATGTCCTGTGGGTTGATCTGCCGAAGGAGGCCAAGCTGTCCTGCAAATGTGAGCAGTGCTGGCAGAGTGCATGAATCCATGAAGGGAAGAGAATGTCCAAGAAGGTGTTCGTAATGTCTTTAAGCATTCTGCTGAATTGAGGGGTGGTATTCCAAGACTCTTGAGATCTCTATGTGGCAGACTTATGATGAGGAGCATGCCTGTCTTCAGGATTTCCGTGCCCTTTTTGGAAAAAAAACCTTGTGCTATCCGACTCAGAACTCGGCAAAGCTGTCGCCATGATCACTGTTGAGCAACTTCAAGGGTACCTATGCGTGCTGCCGCCTGGCCTTGCTTTGACTCCAAGAGCTGTGCTTTTGCTGCGTTCTCGGCCTGATGGGGGCAAGCGTCTGGACTATAGATCAGCACAGGGCTCCGCAAAGGTACTGCTGCCGCCTCCTGATTTTCTCGCACGCGTCGGGCCGAATCCCACTTTGCTTCCTCCACTGAGGCGGCTTCGGTCCTTGTTGGGTCACTTGTCACTTCAGGATCAGCCAAAGACAGCAGGTTGGCTGCATGTGGCCGCAAGCTAGGCGTAGTCTCGCTGGCTCAAGCGCTGTCTACTTTGCAATGCACTGCGCTGCTGGGCCAAAGGCATTTCCGCAAACTTTTCCTTCTGGGCCCTCAGCAGCTTTCAGTGCTCAATGCAGACCTTACCAAAAATCTGCATGATTTTCAGAGTAGGCACGCCAGCTCGATGCCTCAGCGCTCAACTGACACGCTGTTGTGCCAAGGTCGGTTCTCTAAGCCAGTGCTAACTTGTACACCATGCATCTCGATGCGACTTGTTGATCGGCCAGGCCACGCGCTTCCTTCAGGTCTCGTTCGAGCTTGTTGCTCTTCATAACAGCTAGGCGCGCGCCGTTGTTGTACTCATCTTCCCTGAGCCGAATCTCCTTCAGCTGCTCCTGCTGTCCAACTGTTTGAATTGGACAGTTGCAAAGCTTCAACCACCTTGTCAAGTCCAGTGTTGGCTCTTCAAGGGTACCCGTCCTCGCTGGTCTTAATCAGCTGCTTCTCTGCCTTGATCTCCTGATCGGAGTCCCGCAGCACAGAAATCCAGAGGCTGACCAGCTGCCCTGCTGCCTGGTTCAGCTTCTTGACCTCAGCCTCGCCCTTGATCATTTTGTTCTGGGCAGCCTGGGTCCTTGCCTGATCGCCCATACATTTCATACATTTCGACAACTGCACCGGCATGCACCGGCCACCTGGCCTTCGCTTTGAAGGCCTGATCCAGGACGCCGCCATGTGCCTGTCTTTTTTCTTCCATCCTGCACTGGCACAGCAAGCAAAGCAAGTTAATTTTAGCGCTGTTCAACGCCGGAGGCCTTGACTCTCGCTTAGCCATCAAATCGGTGCGGCGCGAGTAAGATTCTTCCTGACCCGGCAAAGTTCCGCTGTACGCTGCAGCTATACTGAGCGGCAGAGCAGCACCTTAGCACCTTGCCTGCCGAGCAAGCTGCTCCATCTTCAGCTTTGCCGCTGCATACTGCTGCTGCTTCAGCAGGAGCTGGCCCGTCATCTGGGCCTAGAACATTCAGGATCAACCCTCTTTAAGGCTCTAAGACTCTGTCTGCCATCACCGCAACAAAGTAACGATCTCATGCTTTTTCATGCCATCTGAAAGTATCGCATTTTTCAGAAACTACAGACAACCGATGACAACAGTGTCGGGAATCTAGGCTTAAATGTATGAAATAATCGATGTTAATTCCGCAGGTCACGGGTCTTTCACAGCAGCTTTTCAATTCAGGCGATGGCTGCCTTCCACCCCAGATACACACACCCCTTGGCATACACCATGCCAGGCCTGATAGTTCCCGTGCTATCCCGAGTGATCCCAAGCCTCTTCAGTCCCAGTAGTATCGCGTGAAGCCCTATTCTGTGCCGAGGATCCACAGCTGCCTGGGCTTGCGCAGTGGCATCCAATCCGGCCCCAGCCTGCATAGGCCAGGTGATGTGGATAATGCATGGATAACCTGTAGCCTTCGTACACTTCCTAAATCGTTCGAACCACAAGTTCTAGTGCGCTGTTGCTGGTTCACTGCTAATGAAACTATACTATGCTTGCATGAGTATTACCAAGAGTGTCACTCTAGCATGATGACAATCAAAATGTCAAGTGCTACCCATGTCAATCCCATTCCCGAATGTTGTTGCATTTGCTTCTTAGTCTCTGCTTACGCTGACTTTATAATGCACCAGTTCATGGTTCATGACCACCTAATCACTTCCTCAAGGAAAAGCCAGTCAGAAGCCTAAAACCCTGGACTCGAACTCGAACCCGGAACCGTGTCTTTCCGTCAGTGCGGTATAACTCTTCGTGGCCTTCGCCAGGCTGAGACCAACCTGCAGCAATGGCCGGTGAGGTCCGCAAGACTGAAGAATATAGGGGTTATATAAGAGGGATTACATGGGGGTTATATCGGGATAATGAAAAAGAAAATGGAAACTACGATCATGGGTTATGTAGAGCAATGTAGAGTATACAGAAAGATGCAAGGGTTCAACGGGCTGCAAACGTCAAATCCCAGTGCAACTGCCTTAAGCTGCATGATTACGACGCACAGCTTTTACTCAAGGGCACCCCAAGGTGGGTAACTGTCAGTAAGCACACCTGGAGGTGTCCTCCATCTACAGCCTCCCCTGCCTCAAACGCAACAGGCACCAAACACTTGACACCAAGGGAATGCTACAATCATAGGTAACAACTTGATTACATGTAGTGAGAAGCAGAAAATGCTGGGAAGCAGCAGGATCAAGAAACACATTTCGGTGGCAGACAGTGCGACTTGTCAAGTCAGAACAGCCAGCTGCAAAGAAACTTTCAGAGAATCATCACCAAGCGCCACACTTCATTGTTGGGCTGCGCAGATCCGCATGCGGCGACAGCTAGCAGCGACAGCCGCCACATCTGGCCCCAACTACGCAGCCGGAGAATCCCGCAAATAGCGGGCACTGCCTCCTCCTAGGTGCTTGAGCCACCCAGGCTGCAAGTTTAATAGCTGCCTTGGATACACATGAGCCTGCATGAGCCTTGTGACCTGAAATCGAAAAAGGCGTGTCGTCCATCTAGTGTCCATTTCAACTCCACAGAGCGGTGGCAAGAGACTACCAGTTGAAGTCATGCAAGATCCTTTCCATCCACGATGGGGCGGAATGTTCATGTCTGCCGAACCAGCAACAAGGTGGTCTCTTTGTAGAACCCCTGCTGTACTGGCTTAGTAACTCCCGGTCTCATGCATCCTGACAGTTGTGTCAGCCTCCCGTTTCTGGACATCCTCCCTGAAGCTTCTTGGCAACCCCTCCCTGCAGGCTGGTGAAAGGCAAGTGCATGTGCCCCCCAACCACACCCAAAGCCAACCAACACCTGATTGTCGCCAGAGCATCACCTTCTCGGACTATCAGCGACCAAGTCCCTGGCCGCTGGGCGCCCAGCGGTCTTCACGGTTCTTCTCCTACAACAATGGCATACGCAGCGCTTGCAGGATTAGACAACTAGCTCTTTCTGACCCACCGATCCGGTCCTCTTGAACCCATTGCCACAGCGCATGGGCGCGGCCTTCTCCATGCTCAAGAGACCTAGAAGAAGTCGACTGTCTATTTTCTGGCCCAGCACCTTTCGAAAGCTTTTCAATATTGGAAAACTCAGTAGCGCTATCTGACGCAAGGGCTTGCTTTTAGAGCTAGCATGGTGCTATCCAGAAGCAAGACAGACAATCTGTCCCTTGCTGTTCGAACCCATTTCTCACTGGTGGCTGATCTTTCCAGGCCAAGCCATCTCCAAAGAGAGATTGTACCTTCATGCTCAAGAAATCAGATGCACTTAGCAGTTGGGGAACCAGCCAGGGGGTGGCGCAGCATGCAGCTTGCAATGAGGGCACTGCCACGGGCAAAGCCGTCTTCTTTGTCACCACGGGCTCTCCCGTGCTTAAATGATGGATGTGAGGCCAGCAGCGGTCGCAACTGTTGTTGCCGTGCCAGTGTGCAAGTGGGAGTCTCATCAAGAAAGATTTGTTGGCTCGTGCGCAGTGGCATCTCTCAGTCATGATGAGTCTGCCCATACCTCGAGGTAATGGTACAGAATGCCTGCAACTATTGCAGGGCACAGCTTCAAATTGGCATATACACATGGACTGCAATGCTGTCCGTGGCCAACCCACAGAGAGCAACACGATTGGAGAAACGATGGTTGACCTTCTTCTAGCGCTTCAGGGTTGCCAACATGCGCGATCCAACCGTGTGGCAGAGCATGCTAACCTGCTCCATATCCCTGCACAGCAAGACTTTACTGATTCCTGCTAACTCTATAGCACTCTAGCTCATGCAGCTGGGACAGAATTAACTATAATATTAACTGCCTCCGGACAATTTCTTAGGATGCAGGAGCTGACATTGACCTGGACAAACATACAACTGGGTCTGGATTCATTTAGCGAAGGGGATCTTGGCAGAATGGGAAGACCGCTGTCCAACGCTGGTAAGGGCAAAGGCCGCAAGCCAAGCAACCTCATTCGACTTTCCCTGCAAACATCTGCAAACAAGAGACGTGTTGCATTACTGGTAACGGGTGACCTTGCATCCGCAGGGATACTCGCGGTAGACACCTCTCGCAATTTGATGCCAGAAGACATCCATTGCGATGTAAACTCCCAAAAGATACTGCCACAATCACGCGGCCGCCAGCTCCCTCGCAGGCAAGTCTCCAGTTTCGGACATGCATGCTGTGGACTCCCAACTCAAAGTCTACATCATTTCAGCCTGCAAGCGCACCTACAGGATCCAGAGAGACACGCCATGGCATGTCCTGGCCTTACGAGGCTGTCGTGGCTTCGGCTGCTGGCACAGGCGCCTGCAACACCATGCCGAGGGCACAGAAGTTTCTGCTTAAAGTCTTTGCATTTTGAACATGAAGGGGTTAGATTTACCGTTTCTATGCTATTTCGTGCTGACATTGTGGGAAAGAAATCGGCCAACCAGGGAGGCCAGCCCAGTCGCCTCCTCCGGGGCGGGCTCAGGCACCACGCTGCTGCGGTCCACGAGCTCTGTGAAGGACTGGAGAACCTGAGAAGCAGCGCTGAGCGGATCCTCAGATCCTCAAAGGATCAAACCAGAATTACGACAGTTGAGGCTTTATGGGTTATTGCTTGGCCTTAGCTTTGCGAGCCATTGCTGACACATGCGGCCCCAACTCCTGTTGGACACGTGGCGAAACAGGGCTCACTCCACTGCTGATGCGACAGGGCGATTGCAGGTTCGGACATTCTCCGGAAAAATAACTTGGATAATGCTGATGCTCTCTGAGCAGAACCAACATTTTATGACCACCCCGCACTGTAGTGCCATGCAGGGCTCCTATCGCTTTGTGCTCTCCAACTTGCAGGCCGCGCAGCTCCAGTCTTGAACTCTTCCAAGCTCCCCTGTGCAACTAGCATTCTGCCAGCCCAATTGAGCAGCTGCAATAGCACTTTAAACGCTCTCTGCGGCCCCTGCTCAACCTCCCACCCCTTTCGGATGCCAAGACCTAGCTCTCATCCTGCGCACAAGATTCTACTTTAGCCTGCTATGTGGACCAGTCCACTTGTAATGATCGTAGCTCATATTGTAGCACAGTCGGCTCGTAGTAGAAGCCGCATCTTGGCAGCAGAAGTAACGACAAAGTAGCAGCAAAAATCAGCTGTAGCGACAGCGGCCCTTCAGCACTGTAATGCACTGTAGCAGAACTAGACTCAAGCATCTACTTCACCATGGTCACGTCTTCTTACGTCTTTGCCCTCGCCTTCAACTCTTTAAGCTCGGAGGCTGTTGCCTTCATCTCTGGGCCGAAAGCCTTAGAGGCTTGCAAAAAGGCTGTCAGATGGAGCCTGAGGGCCTGAAGTGATCACAGCTGGAGAACCTTCAGCTCCTTTGCTGCCGCCTTCTCCGCTGCCACGGCAGCCTTGGACGCCTCTGCGGCAGCCTTGGGAGCAACACAGGCTTCGACAGCTACCAGGCTGATTGTGCGATTACATGGGTGTGGGCCTAAACTCATCTTTGAAGTCATTCCCCCCCCCTCCCCGAAACTGACTCTGTCGCAGCACCATATTTCAAAGCTATTTGTCGCAGGCTTGGGCTGAACATGGTTTGTTGCAGAGCCCTCAGTTACAAACCCTTTGTTGCGGGAGAGGCGCACAAGGCCTGTTACTGATCCCTGCCCACACGTCGCAGCAGTAAGGCAATTCATGGCTGAGTCAATCCGTCTGGGTCGGACGCCTTGGCTGCATCCTTTGCAGCGGTATCCTCACCACAGGTGGGATGTTCATGTCACAAGGCTGGGGTCTGCTCTTGCCGTGCGCACCCGAATCTTTTGCACCAAGGCTGGACAAGTGCGTGAAGATCTTGCTAACACTCGGGCCTGATGTTTGAACATGCTTGTTCAAGCCATCCAAATGGCAAATTGCACTTGGTCGTGTAAGAAATTGTTGTTACAGGTTCAGCACTC